GTGGGTCTCGAACCCGCGGGCTCAGGCAATCCACTCACCTCAGCCTCCCAAAGCACGGGATTACAGGCTGAGCCAATGAGCCTGGCTCAAATAACCTCTTAAAGAAAGTAAAAAGAAAAGCCCAAAGAAAAAATATTGTAACATAAATAAGCAAAAAAGAATTATTTTTTTAACTCCCTCTCACCTCCCTGCTTCTCCCCTCCTCCAAGAATTATTATTCAGAACATTTTTTAAATCAGTGAGCAAAGATAAATAACCCAATGGAAAAAAATGCATGAACAACTTGAATACCTACTATATATAAGAAAGCCAGGATGGTCAAAGAAAAGATGCTCACCAAACAGGAAGATAAAATTAAATCATGAGGTATTAACATTTCATATCCAGCAGATTGGTTGAAAACATAAACTCTGACAATATTAAGTACTGACAAGATGGAATACTACCCAGCCACAAAAAAGAACAAAATCATGAATTTCACAGCAACCTGGATGGAACTAGAGTCTATAATACTGAGTGAGCTCTCACAGAAACAAAGATCTGAGTATCACATGTTCTCACTCACATAGTGGACCTTGAACATCCAATGTAATACTATAAGAAAATGACTGACAGTGGTGGGAAACTATGGGGGGGGAGGAAAAGGGAGATGGGATTTTTTTTTTTTTTTTTTTTTGAATTGGAGTCTCACTCTGTCGCCCAAACTGGAGTGTAGTGGCCGCTCCCGGCCCCTGCAGCCTCGATCTGCTGGGCTCCGGCGATCCTTCCACCTCAGCCTTCTAAGTAGCCAGAACTACAGGCATGCGCCACCACGTCCGGCTGATTTTTTTATTTATTGTAGAGATGAGGTCTCGCTGCCCAGGTGGGACTTGAACCCGTGGGCTCAGGCAATTCCACTCACCTCAGCCTCCCAAAGGCGCAGGATTACAGGCTTAGCCACTGAGCCCGGCTGGGAGATGGGATTAACGGTAGTAAATATCTGTCTGGGGACGGGGAGACACCTCTTATCAACAAGGGTGCCTGAACGAAGCATATTTGTATACCTAATCCTTAACTGTACCCCACAATATCACTGCACTCCAGTCTGGGCGACAGAGTGAGACTCCAACTCAAAAAAAAAAAAAAAAAGTTCTGACAAGAATGTAGAACATTTTTCTGCACTATTGGTAGATGATACATTGGTACAACCACTTTGGAAAACAATTTTGTGTTGCCTGATAAAGTTGAAAATATGCAAGCCTAGACTCTTTGGAATATTGCCAAGAGACACTCTTCGACGTAAGTACCAGGAAGAATACATAAATATTTATAACAAATAAAAAGAAAGACTGTATGTCAAGAGTAGAATACACAGTGAAAATGAAAGAACAACAACCACTCACATGGATGGATTTCAATTTTGATGGTCAAGCAAAAGAAGAAAGTCATAAAAGAATACTCAGGAAGAGCAAAGGGAAAGGTTATCATAAAAATCAAGAGAGTGGTTACCTTTGGAGGAGGGAAGTGCAATGAGGAAGGGGCACATGGTGGCTTCTAAGGTAGTGGCAATGTTCTGCTTCTCAAAATGAAATAATTTTAAAAGCAATAAAAGTTCTATATATGTATACACATGTGTGAATATGCATGTATTTGTGTGTGTGTGTGTGTTCCATGAAGGAAAACAATAGGAATCCTTAGTGGGAAAATATCAATAAGCACTTCACCAGCCTTACTAAATTCTCTCATATGATTGTCTGGCAGAGAGGAACTTCAGTCAACTGAGTTTATCACAAACTTCACCTTGTACATATAATTTCTACTAAACATATACTTGGAAAGTGTTATCACATTGCTTATTTAAACTATTAATTGAACCACACCTCCTCAGGCTGTCCTACTTTCATTAGACTTGGTAAAAAGAAAAAAAATAAATTCTTAATATTTAAAAATGCAGTTGAAAACATTTTTTTCTTAACCCTTTTTTTTAACCTTTCTATGTTAGCTATGTCTTCCTTGAGTAAATTCAAATGAAGAAAATTGTGCCAAAATCTAAAGCCATTCTTATATTTATTATTATATATTATTAAATATTTATTATAAAAATACTAAAAAAATTTTAAAACATAGCTTTTTGTTATATTGTTTATATTAATTAAGACTAGAACCTCTCTTTTCAATGTATCAGACATAACACAGAGTTAAAACACTAGAAGGAACCTTCAGAAGTTACTCAGTGTAATCATCTACCTTTAAGTTGGACTCAGATCATCTCAAGCAAACATGTTATCATCCTAATCTTAAAATATCTCCTGAAAAGATTTTATCGCATTTCTTCCCACTAAGTAGTCTGATTTTTGTGTAATGTGTCTAACTCAGAATCCTTTTTTTGTTTTTTTGAGTTGGAGTCTCACTCCATCGCCCAGGCTAGAGTGCAGTGGCACGCTCATGGCCACCCCAGCATCAACCTGCGAGGCTCAGGCAATCCTTCTGCCTCAGCCTTTCAAGGTGCTGGAACTATAGGAGTGCATTACCATACCTGGCTAATTTTCTTTTTTTTGAGCTGGAGTCTCACTCTTTGTTACCCAGACTGGAGTGCAGTGGCACACTCACGGCCACCACAGCCTCGACCTGCTGGCTTTAGGTGATCCTTCTGCCTCAGCATTCTAAGTAGCTGGAACTACAGACACATGCCACCAAGCCTGGTTACTTTTTTTTTTTTTTTTTTTTTGAGTTGGAGTCTCACTCTGTCACCCAGACTGGAGTGCAGTGGCCACCCACCGCAGTCTTGGCCTGCTGGGCTCTGGCGATCCTTCCACCTCAGCCTTCCAAGTAGCTGGAACTACAGGTGTGCGCTACCACGCCCAGCTAGTTTTTGTTTTTTATTTATTGTAGAGATGAGGTCTCGCCAAGTTGCTCAGGCGGGTCTCGATCCGCGGGCTCAGGCAATCCACTCATCTCAGCCTCCCAAAGTGCTGGGATTACAGGTTGAGCCACCGAGCCCGGCTGCCTGGTTACTTTTTTGTGATTTATTGTAGAGACGAGGTCTCACCAAGTTGCCCAGGCTAGTCTTGAACTCCCGGGCTCAGGTAATCCTCTCGCCTCGGCCTCCCAAAATGCTGGGATTACAGGTTGAGTCACCGTGCCCGGTCCTAATTTTTTTATTTATTGTAGAGATGAGGTCTCGCCAAGTTGCCCAGGCCGGTCTCAAACCCATGGGCTCAGGCAATCCTCTCACCTCGGCCTCCCAAAGTGCTGGGATTACAGACTTGAGCTACCACACCTGACCCAGAACCCTTTTAATACAGGGTTGGAAAACAGTAAATATTATCATTCAGACAATAGCCAGTGAAGGGTGTGGATTTACCTAGGCCACATGGGGCTCTAGCAAGTATCCAACTCCAAGTCTCTATTGGTAGAAATGGGAGGGAAAGGGCCCAGATCCCTGCCTGTTTGGTTCCACTGGCTTCGACCTCACTGATCCCCTGGCTTTCCCCAGTGATCTTACACCAAAGCTTGTCTCTCTCCATGTAACCAAGAGTTGACTATCATTTTGTTTTTGCACTCACTTGGGTTTATTCATAAACTTTATGTTCCTCAACTTCCTCCCATTCAGTAATCAATAACTCATTTATACTTCCAGTGAGTATAAATTAATACCTAGAATATTTTTTTTAGTCCTAAAAACATGTTACTTATAAATGAAAGGAAGAAAGCCTCAAATTTTCTTAATTTATGGGTGCCTTTAATAAAAGAAACATATTGGAAAATATTCTTTTCTTCTACTAGTCATGAATAATTTCATCTAATAAAGTATATTTCTTTCTTGAGGATTATAGTTTTTGTTGTTGTTGTTGTTGTTGTTGTTTTTGAGTTGGAGTCTCACTCTGTGGCCCAGACTGGAGTGCAGTGGCCGCTCCCGGCCACCGCAGCCTCGACCTGCTGGGCTCCGGCGATCCTTCCGCCTCAGCCTTCCAAGTAGCCGGAATTACAGGCATGCGCTACCACGCCCGGCTGATTTTTTGATTTATTGTAGAGATGAGGTCTTGCTGTCCAGGTGGGTCTCGAACCCGCGGGCTCAGGCAATCCACTCACTTCAGCCTCCCAAAGGCACGGGATTACAGGCTGAGCCACTGAGCCCGGCAGACTATAGTTTTTTAGATTAAAAAAAAACTCCTTGGCCAGGCCGAGGTGGGGCTCACACCTGTAATCCTAGTCCTTGGGGAGGCTGAAGTGAGAGGATCACTTGAGCCTAGGAGTTCAAGACCTGCCGGGGTAAAATAGTAGACTTCATCTGTATAAAAAATTTAAAAGTTAGATGAACATGGTGGCATGAACCTACATACAGTTCCAGCTACTCGTGGAGGCTGAGATGGGAGGATCACTTGAACCTAGGAGTTTGAGGTTGTAGTGAGCTATTGTCACGCCACTGCACTCCAGCCTGGGTAACAGAGCAAGACCTTGTTTCTAAAAATAAATAAAAATGAAAGCTCCTTGACATCAGGGGCTAGTTTTGTTTTCATTTTTATACCTAGTACACTCCATTGAAGCTGTTGCTATAACATGACCTGTGTAGGAACTGAAGAAATGTCAACTGTGTTTAACTGAAGCAGAGGAGCATCACTAAACCTTTGTCTTACATGATTGTTGCATTCTTCTTCTTCATCACAGTCTAGACCTTGATGGGCGATCTCCATAGTGCTATTTTCCTGAAAGAGATTATTCTCCAAATCAGAAACTCTGGAAGCCTCAGTTGTAACTTTTACTTTCATGCTGTGAAAGCCAGTGGAAACCAATCCCACTTGCAGGCTGACAGGCTCCCCATCAAACAGCAGGAAGTGTGAATTCACCCCTTCTTTAAAACCAGGTGGTTGGTAATCATATGGCGTCACTGTAAAATGAAAAGAGCAATGAAACAAGTGAATAGAACGAGTCAGATTAATCTTTCATGTGTAGCAACAGATATCTCTTTCAGATGCTTGCAAAATTCTTCTTATATAAGATATTAGCTCAGCACTTAAGAAGGAATTTAACTAAAGGTCTCCACCTACCTGCATTATAGTAGTGGAGTTTCATAGTAAGTACAACATCATTAGGAAGGGGCCCAAGGTTCTGCATCAGTATATACAATTTACGGATCAGTAGAACACTGACTTTCTTAATATCTTCACTGTTTGTCCCACTTTCAAAGCTTGTACTGCTGCTATAACCACACAGAAAAATAGCATACTTTTCAGCCATATCTAATATTGACGACCTTTTCCAAAAGGAACAAAACTTTTAGCTATATGATAAAATAAATATAAAATAAACATCAGGACATTTCGAGACTATTTCTAGAATGTAAATTAGGGGAGTGACTGTACTTTTTGCAATGTATATACAAAGGATTCCTTAAATAGCACATTCCCTTAAACCATTTAAAATATGACCTTATTCTTTAAAATTTTATTTACAAATAACCGCAAGCAATAATAGTGAGAACAGTTGATTTGGAATTAGGTGACCTGGCCTGTGATATCAGTTCTGCTGCTAACTAGCTGAATGCTCTTGGTCAAATCACTTAGATACTCTCTAGGTCAGTTAGCTCATTTATGAAATATGACATCAGTACAGACATTTCATCAGCTCTCCAAGTATAAAATCAATCACCAGCTCTGGGCTTTTTACCATAATGACTATCTAATTATTCTTCTTGTCCATACTGGAAGACCTTCTCCACACCCATGCTGAAATATTATTCCTAATAGTGAAATCTGTTCATATCATCTTCTTGCTTAAAACTCTTCTATTATGTCTATCACCTTTCAATCAAATTCAAGGATGGTGTGTGTACAATGCCTTTCATGAGCAGCCACACCCTTACCCCCACCCTCAGCTGCAGTTATGACCCAGTTTCTTCTCACCCACATTTATTTGCATATGCGGTTCCCTTTTCCTGTACTGTGCTTTTCTACTTCTCTTCCTGACTCCCCAAATTTATCCTTTAATCCCTGGCTCATGTGCCACCTCTTAAAGGAAGTCTTTCCTGATAACCCTCTCGCCTTACCCTCAGGGTGATTGTTTGCTCCTCTCCAGCCTGAGAGTGGCTATATATCGTTCATCTCCATAGTACAGAGTTTGGTGCTGAGCTACTCAATACACATTTGTTGAATTAATGAACAAGTTGGACTAAATTATCTTGCATTTCTAAACCTTTTTTATTTCTCTCCAAAGTTTTCTTCCCTAATCAGTCTCACATTTGAGTAGTTTCTAGGAAGGACTATGACTGCAATATATTTAAATAGTGCTTTGCAGGTAATAATCACTTAATACTGAAAATTAATCCTAAGTAATGGAACTGTTGGGTTTTTCCCTAACTGACCTTTGGAGGCAGTGTGAATTCATAAAGCAAATATTTATTGAGTGAATATATTAGCTCCTTTTTCAATTTTGAACAACTTAAAAGTTTTGTCTGCTGGAATTTAACCAATTTGAACGTAGCGAATCAGAGTGAAGGGCTATATAGCAGGGTTCCCCAACTCCTGGGCCACAGACTGGACTGGTACAGGAACCAGGTCACAAGCAGGAGGTAAGCAGCAGGCAAGTGAGCAAACCTTCATCTGTATTGACAGCTGCTCCCCATGGCTCACATTACCACCCAAGCTTCACATCCTGTCAAATCAGTGGGCAATATTAAATTCTCACAGAAGCACAAACCCTATTGTGAACAGTACATGTGAGGGATGCACTCATTTTGAGAATCTTATCCCTGATGATCTGAGGTGGAGCTGAGGCAGTGATGCTAGCGCTGGGGAGGAGCTGCAAATATAGATTAACATTAGCAGTGAGATTTGACTGCACAGAGATCATAATAAATCAATTGCTTGCAGACTCATATCAAAACTCTATCAGTGAGTGGCAAGTGAGTTACTGTACTTCAATTGTACAGCTTCATATGGTGGCAGGCTTTAAGTCAGAATCTGACACTTATTTTAGTCCACAAATGATCTACCCATTATTTCAATGACCACTTCCATCGGTGCCTCTTTTTTTTTATGGTAAGTTGTATAATTATTTCATTATATATTACAATGTAAAAATAATAGAAATAAAGTACACAATAAATGGTATGCATCACCCTGAAGCATTTCCTACCCCCTGCAACCCCAATCTGTGAAAAAATTTTTTCTGTAAAACTGGTTCCTGATGCCAAAAAGGCTGGGGACTGCTGCTATATAGCCATGTAGCTCATGTGATTCTCCTTATATCAGTAAAATCATATTCAGGATTCTCATTTAAACAAATACCTATCTTTTTTTCTAGGAATTTAGTAATATGTGTTACTTTCTCATCTACTTAGTATGTGAAAAATTTGGCATTTGTTTTACTGCTTACCTGTTGAAATATGTGCCTGCAAAACAAAACAGATTAACCTGATCATTAGTAGTACTTACATTTGAGTTTTTGAAAGTAAAAGGCAATTTTTTTTTTTTTGAGTCAGTGTCTCACTCTGTTGCCCAGGCTAGAATGTGGTGGCATAATCACAATTCACCACAGCCTTGACCTCCTGGGCTTAGGCTATCCTTCTACCTCAGCCTACCAAGTAGCTAGCTGGGACTATAGGTGTATGCGACAACACCCAGCTAATTTTCTGATTTTTTTATAGGGACAAAGTCTCACTATGTTGCCCAGGCTGGTCTTCAATTCCTGGACTCAAGCAATCCTCCCATCTTGGCCTTCAAAAGTGCTAGAATTGCAGGCCTGAGTCACTGTGCCCAGTCAAAAGGCAACTCTTTAATATGAGAAAGTGTGTATAAAAAATGTATATAAACTGGAAAGTGTTATACAAATGTTAGCTAATGATGGGTAATATTTTAATTCTCATTTTTGGAACTGACTTTCTCATCACATCCTAGTGCTGTCTGTAAGTTTTACAAATGAGAGAATAATTAAGGAAGTGAATCTTGGAGAAAAATCCTCAAGCTTATGGTAAATGATGAGTCAGTACAAATAGCAGGGAAAACTGAGAATTAGGCTATGTTTCTCTTAATAGGCACTCCTTTCAGGGGCATCCATTCCCCTTACTTGGAGCCCTCTACTACCCACAGCTTTTCACCATCATCTGCACCTTCCACTACTCTGCCATCTTATCAATCATACTTTGCTTTCCATGTCTCCTGGCTGATTTGAATCCAAAAGATACTGGAAAAAAAAATAAATGTTGCTCCTTAATAAATCATCTCCATCTGTACTGGGGACTTTCTGAAGCAAATGTTCTTTCTTGCCTTTGCTGTTTAATCCACTAGAATATTAGAAACTTGGAGTTTTAGACTTGATAGTAAAATGGAGTTCTTTCCAGTCTTTTCCATACAGGGATACACGGAGAAAATGATAACTCGTATGACATACTGGAGTAAGCAAATGAGAATATCTGTATATGTAGGCAAATAGTCTAGGGGCTTTATCTATTCCAGGCCCCATGTGTCTACATCGAATGTGGAGAGGACCAATATCTTGGCATATCAACTGAGAAACTTTGGATTAATAGTTAGAGCCTTGAGGAGTTCTTCAATTAACAGTGTGTAGACAGCCTTATTAATACAATTTCTACTGCTGCACCACCCACCATTGTCTCTACTCCCACCAGCTTAATACATAGATTTCAGAAAATTAAGCAAGTGCTTTAACCCCTTTTTACAAAAGTGATTTTTTTGGTAGAGTTTTTGAGGAAATTACAAAAGAAGTATAAGACCTTTCTCTGGCCTCAAGAAGCTTATATTTATTGGAGGCTCAAACTTCACCTGCACATAGATTACTTATATGCCTAATCCTGATTTGTACCCCACATCTTTATAATAAAATAAAGCAAAAAAAAAAGAAGTATGTTTACCTCAATTCTATATATTTCTCATGTACATTAAACAAGTAGATTCTACCTGCTAAAATCCATAGTGGCTCCTTCTTTTGTGTATTTGAATTTGAACTGGTATAGCTCAGTCACTTTCTAGAAAAACCAAAGGAAATAGAGAAAAATTAATTTTGAAAAACAAATCTAGAACCTTACTTCATAAGTAAGGAACATTTTCATTATATACCTACTATACTTCCTATATATCTGTTTGTTTCAACCATTACATTGTTCAGAAGTAATATTTCCAAATATAAAGACAACCTAGGTTTTTCTTCCTAGCATGGAAGTGAGTTTGATGGAAAATACTATCATTACCATTTTATTTATTTATTTATTTACTTTTTATTTTTTTGAGTTGGACTCTCACTCTGTCACCCAGACTGGAGTGCAGTGGCTGCTCCTGGCCACCGCAGCCTCGACCTGCTGGGCTCCGGCGATCCTTCCACCTCAGCCTTGCAAGTAGCCGGAATTACAGGCATGTGCTACCACACCCGGCTGATTTTTTTTATTTATTGTAGAGATGAGGTCTCGCTGCCCAGGCGGGTCTCGAACCCGCGGGTTCAGGCAATCCACTTACCTCAGCCTCCCAAAGGCGCGGGATTACAGGCTGAGCCACCAAGCCCGGATCACCCGGATTGTTACCATTTTAAAACTGAAAAAACTAAGGCAGGGAGTCAAGTATCTAACACAACTAGGTAAATGACAGTGGAACCAGTTGACAAACCATTTATTCATGTTACAAATATTTTATTGAATATCTACTTTGTGCCAGAGACAATGGCGAACAAGAGAAAAGATCCCTGTTTTTCTGGAAATACAGTCTGGTCAGGAGATAGTCAATAAATAAGTAAACAAATAAAATAATTACAGATAGTATAAGTGTTGTGAACAACAAGAAGCAGATGTTGTGATAGAGTACATGAAGGGGAGAAGCACTGGTTTGGTTTGGAAGGACAAAGGAAGGCCTTGATGAAGAGGCAATGCATAAACTCAGCCTCAAGAGGTATCAGTTACATGCAGATCTGGAGGGTGGGGTGCCTCAGACATAGGGAACAGCAAGACAAAGGTCGTAAAGTGGGAAGAGATGCCTCTTCCAGGATCAGAGAAGCGGTCAAGTGACTAAGATGAGTGAGGAAGGGGAAGAATACAGAAGATGAGATTGTAGAGAAGATTGTGGGACCTTGCTAGCCTTGGTAAAGGGTTGGGATTTTATTCTGAGTAAACCAGAAGTCTATTGAAGGGTTTGGACTAGGTGAGTCATTTGCATTTCTTTTTTTTCTTTTTTTTCTTTTTTTGAGTTGTAGTCTCATTCTGTCGCCCAGACTGGAATGCAGTGGCTGCTCCCGGCTACCGCAGCCTCGACTGCTGGGCTCCAGCGATCCTTCCGCCTCAGCCTTCCAGGTAACTGGAACTACAGGCGCGCACTACCACGGCCGGATGATTTTTTTATTTATTGTAGAGATGAGGTCTCGCCTGCCCAGGCGGGTCTCGAACCCCGTGGGCTCAGGCAATCCACTCACCTCAGCCTCCCAAAGGGAAGGAATTACAGGCTGAGCCACCGAGCCCGGCTCATTTGCATTTCTTAAGGATTACCCTGACTACTTTAAGAGTGCAGAGGAGCTGGGCAAGGTGAGTCACATCTGTAATCCCAATACTTCAGGAGGCTGAGGTGGGAGAACTGCTTGAAGCCAGGAGTTCAAGACCAACCTATGCAATATAGTGAGACCTCATCTCTACAAAAAAATCAGAAAATTAGCTGGACATAATGGTGTGCACCTGTAGTCCCAACTTACTGGGGAGGCTGAGGCGGAAGGATCACCTGAGCCTAGAAGGTCAAGACTGTGGTGAGCTGTAATTGTGCCACTGCACTCCAGCCTGGGCAACAGAATGAGACCCTCCAACTCAGGGGGAAAAAAAAACGAGTTCACAGTGGGGAAGAAGTAAAAACCATGAAAGCAATTAAGAGATTACTGCAGTAATTCAGGGAAGATTAGAATGGCAACAGGAAAATTAGAAAAATTAGAAAAAGAACCTTGATCTATGACATCATCTTATTTCTTCAATCCTGCATTAAAAACTAGATAAACTAGATACTACTGCTATCTGCTCTCTTCACTACTAAGAATGCTAGAAATAGGCTGGGCTCGGTGGCTCAGCCTATAATCCCAGCACTTTGAGAGGCCGAGGCAAATGGATTGCCTGAGCCCACAGATTTAAGATCAGCCCAGGCACCTTGGAGAGACCTCGTCTCTACAATAAATCAAAAAATTAGCCAGGCATGGTGGTGCGCACCTAGTTCCAACTACTTGGAAGACTGAGGTGGAAGGATCACTGGAGCCCAGCAGGTCAATGCTGAGATGGCCATGAGTATGCCACTGCATTCCAGCCTGGCGGACAGGGTGAGACTCCAACTCACAAAAAAAAAGAATGCTAGAGATAAACATGGGAAAATGTCCTCACAAATAAATGATTATCTAGTAGTCGAAGCAAATGTTTGGCCTCAGTATGTTGTATAGTTTGCCACAAAGTTGGAGTATGTGCTAATGACATGTAGAGTATGAGCTTAAATCAGAACACCAAAAAAAATGTCCTTCATTTCTCTTGTTCTGTATTTGATCCTTGACAATGTGAAAATGTTACAGCCTGACTAGGTTCTTATGCCTGCTGTACAGAAAAGTCAGTACACTAACAATAGTCATTGTCATAGAGAAAAGGTTTTTATAAACACAAAGTCACCAAGTGGGAGGATGGGAGATAGTTCTCAAATTTGCCTCTCTGAGAATTTTAGGCTAGGGTTTTATAAGGAATAATCTGGCAGGCAGGGGGCTAGGGAGCAGGCACTGCTGATTTGTTGGGGATGAAGTCATAGATGTCAAAACTGTCTTCATGCATAGAGCCAGATTCTAGGAGGAGGTCACTAGATCAACAGAGGCAGCCTCTTGATATGTATCCAGGTCCAGGTAGGGTCTCAAGTCCATCAGCGTGCAAAGTCTAAAAAACATCTCAAAAACCATTCTTAGATTTTGTAATAGATACTATCTATAAAGCAAGTCTCATGAACGTCAGCTACTGACCTCTGGGCAGTAAACCATTATAGTGGTAGTTTAGAAGGAAGGATGCAGGAGGTGTGGTTCCTGGAGATTAGAGTTGCTAGTACCCTTCAGCTGATCAAACTTCAGGATGCCATCAAGGAGATCTGTGCAACTTTAGGCTCATTGTTAAAGGGAAAATATGTTCATTAATTTTGTGGGCAGCTTCCCCACACCCCAGAGATCAGGATATGAAGACAATAAATTGCTCTCTATTGAGGTGACTGTGTAAACAATCTTGCAAGAAGAGCAAACTTAGAAATGGCAGATTTTGCAGGGCACAGTGGCTCAAGCCTGTAATCCCAGCACTTTGGGAGGCCAAGGTGAGAGGATTGCCTGAGTCCAGGGGTTCAAGACCAGCCTGGGCAACTTGGTGAGACCTTGTCTCTACAATTAATCAAAAAATTAGCCAGGCTGGAAGGACCACCTGAGCTCAGCAATATGCGGTATGCGGTAGCCATAAGCGTGCCACTGCACTCCAGTCTGGATGACAAGAGTAAGACTCCAACTCAAAAAAAAAAGAAAAGAAATGGCAGATTTGTTCATTTCTAAACATAGCTGCAGATTTTCAGGGCTCAGGTCTCTACTGCAACTTTTATCTCGTGGCTCTATATTAATTTTATATAGGCGGTTTCAAGAATGAGGATGTTAGATTGATTAGGAAGTCTCAGTGTAGCTGTTACACTGATTTGGTTTCTTGCCCTGCTAATCTTAAACTTTAATAGACAATTTAATAACAGGTAATCAGGTCCTGGGAAAATTGACTCATGCTGTTTAACCCTAAGGAAATTGATTTGTAATGAAGTTGATTTTAAAAGAGAAAAGTATGTTTCTAATAAAACAGTCCACTTGAGAAATTAAACAGGTTCAGAGGCTGCTTTGTAAATAATAGGAGAGAGAGGTGAGATTAGACATGTCTGCTGGTCCCTACAACAGATTCACTCCAGATAGGCTAGATAGAGTGACCTCTCTTAGCCAATGCTCAGTGTAATTGCCTTGTCAAACAAACAATGCTTACTCCTCCTGCCTGTCCATGTTTGTCAATCAACTCTAGCTTTTTAATACTCTGAGCTATGTTCTATTTTTAAAAATTGTGTCAAGAATAGGTCCTTTTAGTAGTCGATACTTTTATTTACACTTTATTATTTGATCCCGGAAGCACCTAATAAGAGTTACATTTATAATTGCTTTACAAAAGATGCCAATTCTTAATAAATTCAATCTAACTCTGGTTTATCAATGAAGGTATATTTACAGTAGTCACTACTCTCTTCTTAACCCTTATAAGACACTTTTCAGACTAATGTGTTGCCTAATAAGGATGAACCTTTAAATCAATGATTTCTATTAATTATACTAAATACATTAACATAGACCAAAGCAACAGTAACAGATGCAGCCTTTCCTTCTCCCTACATTCCAATCCACTGGCAAGACTCTTCAGGTCTATCTTCACAGCAAATCACAAGTCCTTCTGACACTCATTTTCCATGCTATAGCCAAAAAGAGTTTAAAAAATACAAACAAGCCGGGCTCGGTGGCTCAGCCTGTAATCCCGCGCCTTTGGGAGGCTGAGGTGAGTGGATTGCATGAGTCCGCGGGTTCGAGACCCGCCTGGGCAGCGAGACCTCATCTCTACAATAAATCAAAAAAAAATCAGCCGGGCGTGGTAGCGCATGCCTGTAATTCCGGCTACTCAGAAGGCTGAGGCGGAAGGATCACCGGAGCCCAGCAGGTCGAGGCTGCGGTGGCCGGGAGCGGCCACTGCACTCCAGTCTGGGCGACAGAGTGAGACTCCAACTCAAAAAAAAAAAATAAAAAATACAAACAAGACCATGTCACTCCTTGCTTAAAACCCTTCAGTGGCTTTTCACTGCTCTTAGAATAAAATTCAAAAGTTACCTTGATCTACAAGGCCCTACTCATCTGTCCCCTCCCTACCTCTCCGACCCTATCTCTGGCCACTAACTAAACTCCAGGTTTATGACACCTTTTCTGTCTACAAACACCCAAGATTCCCTCCTGCCTTAGGGCCTTTCATAGTTATACTCTGGAACATGCCCTCTCCACTTAGTGATAATAATATTCAGGTACTGCCCTAAATGTTTTACATCAGCTCATTCTGCTGTAGCCAATATTCTGAAGTAGTTATTATTATTCTCTCTCTTTTTTTTTTTTTTGAGTTGGAGTCTCACTCTGTCACCCAGACTGGAGTGCAGTGGCCGCTTCTGACGACCGCAGCCTCAACCTGCTGGACTCCGGTGATTCTTCCACCTCAGCCTTCCAAGTAGCTGGAACTACAGGCACATGCTACCACACCAAATTTTTGATTTATTGTAGAGATGAGGTCTCGCCAAGTTGCCCAGGCGGGTCTCGAACCCGAAGGCTCAGGCAATCCACTCACCTCAGCCTCCCAAAGGCGCGGGATTACAGGCTGAGCTACCGAGTCCAGCAATTATTCTCTTTATTGATGAAGCTAGTAAAGGGTAGAGCTGGGATTAGACTCCAATGCCTGTGATGTTAACTACTGTGGTTATTTGACCTGGCCCATGCACTTGACCCTCACAAACCTGCATAGGTTCACTCTTTCTGGTCATGTAGTATCAGTTCAGACTGTGGCCCTTCAGGGATGCCTTCTAGGGACTGCTCAATCTAATACAGGTATACAGTCCCCCCCCCCCCTCCATTCTCCATCTCAGCACTCTCCATCACATCGCCTTTTAAAAATTTTCTTGATAGTGTTATGGCTATCTGAAACTTTGTACTAATCTTTACTCATTTATTGTTTATCCTCCTTCATAAAAATGTAAGCATCTAGAAAGCAGGGACCTTGTCTATCCCATTCATTCCTGTGTTTTTATACATAAAAGGAACACAATTAATATTTTCTGAGCGAATAAATATTCAGCCAAGACAGAGTTCATGCTCACTTACAATTTCATCCTACAAGGATTAAAAAAAAAAAGTTGGGCGTGGTGGCTCACATCTGTAACCCCAGCACTTTGGAAGGCAGAAGCAAGAGGAATTCCTGAGCTCATGGCTTCAAGATTAGCCTGGGTAACTTGGTGAGACTTCATCACTACGATAAATCAAGAAAATTAGCCAGGCGTGGTGGTACCCGCCTGTGGTTACAGCTTCTTGGAAGGCTGAAACAGAAGATTGCCTTAGTACAGCAGGTAGAGGCTGCAGTGGCCATGAGCATGCCACTGCACTGCAGCCTGGGCAACAGAGTGAGACTCTGACTCAAAAAAATAAATAAACATAAAAACAACGTCTCTAAAAGTATATTACATCTAGAAACAGGGATCATTTATAGTTAAGTTGATGAAGCAGTCTATTAAAAGTGAGTGTTGGCTAGGCGCAGTGGCTCATGCCTGTAATCCCAGCATTTATGGAGGTTGAGACAAGAAGATTGCCTGAGCCCAGGAGTTTGAGAACAGTCTGGACAACACAGCAAGACCTTGTCTCTACAAAAAATCAAAAATCAGGAGGGAGGCTATGGTGAGCCATAATTTTGCCACCACACTCCAGCCTGGGCAACAGAGTGAGACTCCAACTCAAAAATAAAAATAAATAAAAGTGAGCACTGACCATCTCCAATAGGAACAAAGGAATAGATGATGAAACAGTAAGATTTATGTTCTTATAATATTTACATATAGTAATTCTCTATGATCTATTATGCATGAAGTTATGTAAACTTCAACATATATAGTTTGGTTCACATATCTTACTAATTCCTGTCATGCATTTTGTAGTGTTTGCCTATAGAAATCTTCACTATCATGCTTCACTACTTTAGCTACTAATGGTGGTTCATCTCTTTCATAACAAGGAGCAACCAGAAGAAAACTTCAAGTGCAGAAGCACTACAACTTTGCATAATGCCAAAAACTCTGTTGGCCTTCTGAACTAGGGAAACAAACTTGTTTAGTTCCTGCCAGAGGCTCTCAACTGTGCTACAAATTTTAATCCATGTGTAAAGTGTATTTTTGCTTCAGATAAATATAAACATTGTTATTGTTTGTGCAGTTTTTTTTAGGAAAGAATATATTTCCAGGCTTATGACTCAAGAAACATGGCTCAATATCAGATAAATGCCAAAGACTATGTTTAAAGAAAATGTTCTTTTTGAGTATATAAGAGAATGAGATCAGGGAGGTAAATAGTTGTATCAGTGACGTGAAGCTAAATAGTAGCCATAAAATATGTAACTTTGTGGATGCTTTGTAGGCACTATGAACATTGCTATATTAAAGTAGTATTTATACTGTAATTATTGCTGATCAATGTTCTTTTGAGTCTTTTATTAATAATACCCACAAACAAGATAGTGAATTTTTTTTTTTTTTTGAGTCACAGTCTCACTCTGTTGCCCAGGCTAGAGGGCAGTGGCACACTCCCAGCCACAGCAGCCTCAACTTCCTGAGCTCAGGTGGTCCTTCTGCCTCAGCCTTCCAAGTAACTGGAACTATAGGCATGCGCCACCATGCCTAGCTAATACTTAACTTTTTAGTAATCAAAGGTGTGCCAGAAACAAAGAACTGAATACTGCATGTTCTCACTCATGAGTGGACCCTGAACATTAGTCACATTAGCACAAGGGAGGGATCAGCAGTCGCTGGGCACTGCTGTGGGGGGAGGGAGGGAGGAAGGTGGGAGGCACAAGACAACATTAAGGGGACCTGGTCCACTACCAGGGGGAGTGAGGGCCAGTTAGAAGCTCAATCTTCACCTGCATGCAGCCTACTCATGTAGTTAATCCTCACTTGTACCCCCATATCTCTATAATAATTTTTTTAAGTGTGCCATGAATACATAGAGGTGAAGAATCACCACTAAAGAGAACAATCTGTAAACATTCTAAATATTTGTTTCTGGGTCATAAATGATAGCTCAGAACTTACCATATAATAAGCTTTTGTTTCCTAACTTTATATGTTGCATCAAATCTCATTTAACAGTTTTTTTCCCACTCTGTAATATTTTTCTGTAGTTAAGTTCAATTTGCTTAGCATTTCACTATCCCCCAAAACCACGGGTTTCAAACTAGGAATTTAACATGCATAAGAAAACATGATAAATACCACACTCATAAAATTACTATTTATTAACAGTTAATCAGGAGGTTTTAGTTTGGAAAACTTCCATTCAAATTTAAAAGGGGAAAGTAAGCATTTTGAAAGTAAATAAGAGACAAAAATAGTAAGAGATAGAACTAATTTGGGCATTGAGGAATTGCTACCTGCTATATGCTATTTTCTTCTCCCTTGCTTAAACAGCTATATGAAATCTTGCAAAGAAAGAATATGAAGAGATAAAACTACTTAATTTAGTCTTGACTGCCATCAGTTAGGCTACATCCATAGACTTAAAGAAGGAAACTTGAAAGCAAATAAAAAGAAAAGAAAGCTAGGAGGAAGACAAAGAGAAAAGAATAAGAACAGAGGGCTTATTCCCCCATTTCTGTGCCATGGCCACCAAAGTGGCACATATAACTATGACTTGTCCAGGACTATAATATTCACTCTGGAAGACAAAAAACCAGACAAGACCCTTGCCCTTAAGAATTCATAATCTGGTTGGGAACATAAAGTAATCTACATAAATCAACCAAGAGTGTTAAATTACATGGGGTCTGATGGAAAAGGAATTTAGAGAAGGAAGAAGTTAGTATAGACAAAATAGCCAAAGAGAGTTTCAGGAAGATTTGAACATAAATTGGCACCTTGAGGTGAGTAGAAGGAAGAAATCTAAGTAGAAGGAAGAGAGAGAGGAGGCAAAGTTCTCAAAATCTATGAAAATGTCAAAAAGGAGAAAATTTAGTTGGCCAAAAATAAAGTTTAGAATTATGCCATATCTCATTATTTTCCCAAAAGGCTATAAACAGAAAGGAATCAGAGTCAGTTAAAATAAGCCGGGCTCGGTGGCTCAGCCTGTAATCCTGCGCCTTTGGGAGGTTGAGGTGAGTGAATTGCCTGAGCCCGTGGGTTCGAGACCCGCCTGGGCAGCGAGACCTCATCTCTACAATAAATAAAAAACCAGCCAGGTGTGGTAGCACGCGCCTGTAATTCCGGCTACTCAGAAGGCTGAGGCGGAAGGATCGACGGAGCACAGCAGGCGAGGCTGTGGCGGCCGGGAGTGGCCACTGCAGTCCAGTCTGGGCAACCGAGTGAGACTCCAACTCAAAAAATAAATAAATAAATAAATAAAATAAATAATAAATGATAAAATGTAGTTTTATACATTTATACATTAAGAGACACTTAATGTTAACATCTTAGGAAATAGACTCAATTCTAGTCAATGCTTTTTTCCCAACACCCCTAATAGTTTTAGAAAATCTCATAAGAGATTGGTCAAGTTTATAATAAAATATACTGAAAAAGCGCATTATGAGTTCTTCTGCTCATACAGTGTATAGTCTCAACTCAGATAAGCATATTTAAATATAATATGCCTGTAATCCCGTGCCTTTGGGAGGCTGAGGTGAGTGGATTGCCTGAGCCCGTGGGTTCGAGACCCGCCTCATCTCTACAATAAATCAAAAATCAGCTGGGCCTGTAATTCCGGCTACTTGGAAGGATCGCCAGAGCCCAGCAGGTCGAGGATGCAGTGGCCGCTCCCGGCCATTGCACTCCAGTCTGGGCGACAGAGTGAGACTCTAACTCAAAAAAAAAAATTAAATTAAATTAAAAATAAATAAATGCAATATGCATATACTACCCACCTATATGTATGCCTTCTTACCTCAGATTCCTGGGGATTTGTGTAAAGCTGTTTAATGGAAAATAAACAGCATTTAGTTTCTGAAACTTACTACATAACTCCTCATGGAATACATTGTTTATATAAAGAGTTCAATTTCTGCTCTATTAATTCAGTACTGACATGTATTTCAAGCTAGAAAGAGAATATGCCCATATTTTGTGTCTTTAGAATATTCTATGTGCACTGAAGACAATGATATTGATGATGAGATATTTATAGTTACTATGACTGAACTGCAAATAAATTCTAAATAATTTGCTATAACCAGAGGTATACAAAATTTCAAAAAAGTCTACAAAACTTCAAAAACAAAAAGCTTTGATTCTCTAAAGGTACTAAAAGAGTGAAATCATCAGAGCCAACAGATTAAGCAGATGGTATATCTTATATCTTTTCCTATGTATTATATCAAAGAAATATGGAGTTTGCAATCTTTTATTAAAACTTCTTAATGATCCTATTTTTTTAAATTCCAAAATGTCATAAGACAGACAGGCACTGCCCAATCTAAACATGCAACCCCCTCCTTTTCCATTCTCCATCTCAGCACATCTCAGAAAGTCAGGGAGGAAGGAGGAGACTACTATTTTAATGATTAACTTGCCAAAAGTCTATCAAATGTATACTTACCATAAGTACTGCCATGTGTAGCTTCAAAAGAAGGACAAAATAATTGTTATTATATACTTACATCTATATTATTGTGTTCAATAGAGGCTAATTAACATATTTCAGACAGGTTCCAAAGATTTGAGAAGGAAAAATATTCAGAAGATCAGAAAAAGGGATCTAGTTACCACCCCTCAGTATCTGAGAAGGGGATTATTTGCAGGACCGTCTGTGGATACCAAAATCTGTGCATACTCAAGTCCTGTAGCAAGTATATAAAAAGTCAGTCTTCTGTATCTGTGGGTCTCACAAATGCTATATACTGTAATTTTTAATCTGTCTTTGGCTGTGGATGTGAAACCTGCCAGATATGGAGGAAAGACTATTTACTTAAAAAAAATCCTGGTATTAATGGACCTATGAAGTATAAACCCATGTTGTTTAAGGGTCAACTGTACTTTTTTTTTGGTCAAAATTTATTTTATTTTAAAAGTATATTGTATGTTAACAACTTTATATCTGTTTATCTGCATTATAAAGGTGAATTTCTTAAATGCCTGAAAATTGATTCTTTCCTATCACTTTTTAACTGATATATAATAGTTGTGCATATTTGGGGTTTGTGTGATATTTTGATACCCACATACAATGTGTAATGAGTTCAATTGTTCTTTCTTTCTTTCTTTCTTTACTTATTTATTTCTTTCTTTACTTATTTACTTATTTTTGAGTGGAATTGTCATTCTGTCGCCCAGGCTGGAGTGCAGTGGCACACTCATGGCCACCCCAGTGTTGACCTGCTGGGCTCCAGCGATCCTTCTGCCTCAGCCTTCCAAGTAGCAGGAATGACAGGCATGTGCTAGTGCACCCAGCTAATTTTTGATTTATTGTAGAGACGAAGTTTCGCCAAGTTGCCCGGGTTGGTCTCAAACCCGAGGGCGTAGGCAATCCACTCACCCTGGCCTTCCAAAGTGCTAGGATTACAGGTTGAGCCACCAAGTTCAACTTTAAATAATCTCTAGATCACTTATAATATAAACACTATGTAAGTAGCTATACTACATTTAAAATTTTGTATTATTTTTAAGTGTATTGTTATTTTAAATGTTTTTCAAATATTTTTGACCTGTGTGTTGGTTGAATCTGCAAATGCAGAACACCATGATACAAAAAGGCTAAGGGACTGTACTAGTTATTCATTCAGTTGAGTGAATTACTGTTACACATACAGGGCTCTGCTGGAGAGGAGAGGGATGCAATATATATATAACTATTCCTACTCTCAAAAAGTGATAATTTAGACCAAGTGCAATGGCTCATGCCTGTAATCTCAGAACTTTGGGAGACTGAAGTGAGAGGATCACTTGAGCCCAGGAGTTCCAGACTAGCCTAGGCAACATAGCAAAATCTCGTCTCTACAATAAACAGAAGTCAATCATCAGGCATGGTGGTGTGCATCTCTAGTACCAGCCACTCAGGAGGCTGAGGCGAGGAGAGAGGATAGCTTGAGTTCGGGTGTGCAAGGCTGCAATGAGTCAAAATCATGCCACTACACTCTAGCCTGGGCCACAGAGTGAGACGGTCTCTAAAAAATAAAAAAATTTTTAAAAAGTGATATTCTGGCTTGGAAGGCAAAAGCATACAAAATAATTCATCATTAATAATAATTAAACATGTTACAAATACCTTCAAAAAGTGGTCCTTTTGTAAAATTCTTAGTCTGATGTGTTTATAAAACCCTTGCGCTCCCTACATACACACTACTATAAATAGATTTTCTCTGCTTGAAAGAATAATAGAACATATAAATATAGAGACACAATTAAACCTATGATAAATTTTTTTAAAACTAGAATACAAATCAGAACATTTCAGGATCATAATTTCAAATCAAAGAACTAAAACTTTACTGACACTGTGTGGCTATTTTGGTAACTGCATATAATTTAAGACTATACATTGATTCAATCTGAGAAAGCTATTGAAAAAAATACCACACAGTGAAACTCCAATTTATATTAATTACTCAATTAACAGTTCATTCATTCAAATATAGACATGACCCTGATCTCAGGGAACATGCAAACTAGCAAGGGAGATCAACATTTTAAAAACAACCCAGATACATGCATCACTACAATCGTGTTAACCGCTATGAAGAAGCAGCATGGGGTGATATGAGAGCAGGGGGACTATTAAGGCTGGGGGAGGGAGAGCGTCAGTGAAGGACTCCCTGGGGAAATAAATATTTAAGCTGAGACCTGGAGGATAAATTGGAGTTAGTCAGGAAAAGTATACAAGGCAGGAGAGAGAAGTTTCTAGACAAAAGGAAAGTAGCTTGGTATGATCTAGAGTTCTTGTGTGGCTTGAACATGGGAGTGAGAGTCATGCCTTGGAAAGGCAGATAGTGACCATACGGGCCTTCCACATCATGTAAAGGACGTTCAACTTTATTTTTAAAAGCTCTGGAAAACTTTTAGGCAAAAGAATGATACAATCAGACTCAAGTTTCTGAAAGTATGTAGCATGGATAGTGGGTTGGAATGGTGGGGGACTGAGAATGGGAATAAGGAGTTGGGTGACCAAATGCAATAGTCTCTTTTATGTGATAATTATCTAAAAACACATATATGTGCTTATTTTAAAGAATTCAAGCAAAATATAAAATACAAAAATAGTATAAAACCACCCTAAATTTCACAACTAGAAGTAATCATCCTCTTCAACAGGAAAATGTCTTTCTTTTTTTTTATTTTTTTATTTTTGAGTTGAAGTCTCAGACTCTGTCACTCAGACTGGAGTGCAGTGGACGCTCCCGGCCACCGCAGCCTCGACCTGCTGGGCTCTGGCGATCCTTCTGCCTTAGCCTTCCAAGTAGCTGGAACTATAGGCGCGCGCTATCACACCCGGCTCATTTTTTTGATTCATTGTAGAGATGAGGTCTCGCCAAGGTGCCCAGGCGGGTCTCGAACCCGCGGGCTCCGGCAATCCACTCACCTCAGCCTCCCAAAGTGCGGGATTACCAGCCCAGCTGGGAAAATGTCTTTCAAGATCTCTAGGTACTCAAAGTTGATTTTACTCAAACTACTTTTAAAACAGCATGTTGTACTGGCTACCAAAATTACCTAAGAAAGTTATAAAAGATTAACAACTGAAAAACACTATAAATACTATTTACTTAAGAGTATAAGTCATCTATCTAAGGTTTTGTCTTCAGAACTCCCTGAAACAGTTAAGTTGACTGAGTCAGTCATACATGTAGTGATTTAGTAAAAATAAATTTATCAAACTAGACACTCTTTGTATATTATACTATTTTAGTACTTACTAATACTGTAGTTATTTATTTAAGAAGTGACTCTATTAGACTGTGACCTCCTTGAGGAGGGGGAATCAAATCTTACACTCATTTTTATCTCATCCAGTGCCTAGACACAATGTCTGGCACAGATTAAATAGCCAGTGTATAAAGAATGAATGAAGAAAGTATTTATTATGTGCCAGACACTGCCCCAAACATTTTAGATTAGTGGTTTTCAAAGTATGGTACCTAGACCAGCAGGCAGAGATTCACCTGAAATTTGTCTGAAATGCAAATTCTCATATCAGAAATTTGGGGATAGGGTTTGACGATCTGTGTTTTAACAAAGCCTCCTGGTGATTCTGATGCAAGCTAAAGTTTGAGAACCATTGCTTTAAATCATTAACTCTCAATTCTCAAAGAACCCTAGGAGGAATGTTCTATTATTATCCTCATTTTATATCTAAAGAAACTAAGTTACCATGAGGTAGATTACTTGCCCAAGGTCACATGGATATTAAGTGCCAGAACTGGAATTCAACTCAGACTGACTCCTAACTATATTATATTGCCCCTCAATGACAGGTGCATAGGAAACGTTCCTTAATGAATGAAGGAGAATGAACGAGCACTATTCAGCATGCCATTGATGGCCTTCTTCCCCTCTTAACCTATCCAAATGCTCAGGGCCTTCAAAGTTCAAAAGCTATTTTCTCTCAAAGATTTCCCTCATGTCCCTCACTAGGAATAGCCTCTCCTTTTCCATGCTTCCCATTGCACAGAATCCGTATCTTTCCCTTGGCACACATCACTTACTAATGAGTATTATAGTTACTTACACTTGTATGGGGTGATAACCAAAATATCTCTGATATTTTTACCAAAAAAATCAAACTGATATTTTAAAAAATCAATATTTAAAGTCCAATATTGTATAGGTACTAACCAATCAGAAAGGATGCTGATTTTGCTTGAGAGCTAGGTTTCTAGAAGCAATCCTTAAGGGTTAAGTGGCCTAAGGGTTAACTCTTTAGTTGCTGAATTTTAAAGTGGTCTAGGGAAATCCCAAAAGAGACACTGGTGGGGTTAAGGAGGGTATCGGTGGGAGGTCACATAAGGTCTCAGAAAAGTAGTTCTTTACCTTCAGTACAGAAGTATTTCAATATTTTAACAGCAGGTACAACTGGGCAAGTATGTAACGGCTGATTATCAGTCCTGCATATGAATATCACTTATCTTCTGCCATGGTCTATAAGCTCTTCCCCATATCTGTTTTATCTTTGTATCCCTCAGTCCCTCAGATCAATGTTGAATAAATCATAAGTAATAACTGTGCAATGAAAAGAGAAATGTATGGATGTGCTAAATAAACCAATGTAAGGTTTATCCAACTCAAGATTTCTTAAAGGAAGACATAGGTAGGAAAAAGGATGGAAACAGTGGTGGAATTTCATTTATACATATTTTATCTCTTCAACTTGGACTAGAGCCTTAATTTTTTACACCCTTCATAGCTGTCTTAGGCAACATGAAAGATCAGATGCACTAGAAATTTAAGTGGTGTTTAAAAAAAATTCAATATACAATAGTAGCTATTTTGAGAGAATATAGTTACCAAAATAACTAAGATAGAATAAAAATCAATTATTCAAGTCTCTTTTTTCCTTTCATATCTGCAAATTGAATCACCACTATTCTGAACATGTTCCATGCATTAAATGCCAGATTCTTGTCTCCCCTGTCCCACATCCTGTGGATTTCTTCCAGTGTGACTTCAGAGGAAATTTTGTGGTTAAAAAGATATGAGTATGTAAAAGAGAAAAATGAGGGTTTTATTTCTAATGATGTAAAAGAGACATCAATGGGATGATAAGACATAAAATAAAGGGAAATAGGTTTATGAATGCAAATATAGGCACTGTTACACTGTTAAGCACAACAACAAAATAAATTCTAAACTTCTTTTTTTAAGGGATAAAAACAAGTATTTTATCCTGGTGTAAATTTTAAAACATTCTTACGTATCTCTTTTCCAAAGCATCAAAACAACCTTGAATCCTGTCAAGAGATAAATGTTTGATGTCAGTTTGGACCAGATGCAAAGCCAAAAAAATGCCAAGTACAGAATTGATTTATGTTTTTTGCTTCAAAGTGCATTAAGTTGATAACCATTTTACCTTTCCCATGTAATCATTTAATGGTTTTTTTTAAACTTCCAGTGTCTTTTAACATGTTGATAAAACTTCATAAATAATAGGTAAGTAGCCGGGCTCGGTGGTTCAGTTTGTAATCCCAGTGCTTTGGGAGGCTGAGGTGAGTGGATTGCCTGAGCCCTTGGGTTCGAGACCCACCTGGGCAACTTGGCAAGACCTCATCTCTACAATGAATAAAAAAAAATTAGCCAGGCGTGGTAGCACACGCCTGTAGTTCCAGCTACTTGGAAGAATGAGGCGGAAGGATCACCAGAGCCCAGCAGGTCAAGGCTGCAGTGGCCGGGAGCAGCTACTGCACTCCAGTCTGGGTGACAGAGTGAGACCCCCAACTCAAAAAAATAAAAATAAAAAATAATAGGTAAGTAATTTTTAGGTGGGGAACCACATCTTTGTTTTTGTTTGTTACCATAATCTTTAATATACTGATATGCGTATGATGAGTAATATTTTTCATCTTTATACAAATCCATTTAAAAAAAAAAAAACACAGCTAGGCCAAGGAGGTCAAAGCAAAAGAACTGTTTGAGTTCAGGAGTAAAGGCCAGCTTAGATAACATAGTGAAACCTTGTCGCTACAAAAAAATTTTAAAATGACTTGGGTATAGTGGCACGTGCCTGTAGTCTCAACTACTTAGGAGGCTGAGTGGAAGGATTACCTGAGCCCAGGAAGTTGAGACTGCCATGAGCTACGAACCTTAATTGAGCCACTGCACTCCAGCCTAGAGTGAGACTCTAACTCAAAAACTAACAAAAAAAACACAGCTAAATCAGAATCTTAAAATATTGTTACAAATTTCTAGAAAACTATTTTTTTAAAGAGATGAAGAAGGAAAGGAAGAAAGAGATGGCTTTAAGGAAATGATCTTCTCAAATAAAGTCTTATAGACAATTTCAGTTATGATAAAAATAATGTTGTTCAACTTCTGTAAAACTACTTACCATTTGATAATATGCATTGACCCAGGACATTTTTTGTCTTCTCGGAGAATTTTTAAACTGAGTTCTACAAAAATAGAAACAGTCTATTTTCATCTACTAAATGACTACTGAACTGAAACTGTCCATGCTAAATAGGCTATTTCCTTTAACTATTTTATTTATAAAACTTATTTTGTTTTACAGTTTATAGAAACATTTTGAATCTCTAAGCATCTACTTTAAAAATAAATTCTATGTTCAAAATTTCTTCGTGCCAATTTTGATTATAGTTTAGCAGTCTCCCCCTTCAACAGTGTTGCACAACTGAGTTAGCTACAAAATCAATTTGTGCCACTTCTTTGCCTCTGCTGAATTCTAACCAATCATGAGATAATATTGAGACCATGTCTATGTGTACGCCTCAATCTCAGTAATTTCTCTGTTATTTCTCACTTTTTCATGAAAAAATAATAATAAAAAAAGTTTACATGGAGTATTCTCAAATATTTATTTCCATGTGTAATCTAGCTACCTTTCTATACGTAGGGAAAAATAGAAATATTAAAAGAGTTTTGGTTTAGATCATTCCAAGATCAATCACTGATTCATGTATGACTTTGTGTAATTCACTTCACCTTTCCATATTCTTTTTCTATCTGAAAATTGATGTACCTTTATCTCTATTGAGGGATATGAAAATTATTCCATGTTGTAACATTTAGAGATAACCAGAAAGACAGTGACACAGGAGTAGTCGGCATTTTTATGATGAATATTACTTTAAGAACAAGCATTGAAAGGGAGACATATAACTTCCACTATAACAGTTACAATAAATAAAACTATAGGGAAGGGTATTTACCCCCATACCTCGGGTAGTAACTGGCATACAATAAGTACTTAGTTACCAAAAACACATTTTTTATAATTCTATATTTTTTATAATTTTAATAATTATACTCTAAACAAGAGGGGAAACTACATCTATATGCAATATGTTAGACATAAACATTCACTATTATGTTTTGTATCCCATAGACCAAAAGAAGTTATAATACAAGTGAGGTTGTGATTGCAAATATCATGCTTATGTGCTTATTGCACATATGCATTTTATTGATGATCATACAAAGAATCAAATATTTCTTAAGAGAATTAAGCTGGAATAAGGCCAAGGTATACCATTAAATATAGATGTGAGAAATTTAAAATTAGATTTTGAAAAATAACATCTTACAGGAAAAATGACAGTTCCCATTTTAGTGAAAAATCAACAAGGTTCACAAATCAACTTCAAAAAAAAAATAGTAGCTGGGCTCGGTGGCTCAGCCTGTAATCCCACGTGCCTTTGGGAGGCTGAGGTGAGTGGATTGCCTGAGCCCACAGGTTCGAGACCCGCCTGGGCAACTTGGCGAGCCCTCATCTCTACAATAAGTCAAAATCAGCCGGGTGTGGTAGCACGCGCCTGTAGTTCCAGCTACTCGGAAGGCTGAAGCGGAAGGATCGCCGGAGCCCAGCAGGTCAAGGCTGCAGTGGCCGGGAGCGAACACTGCACTCCAGTCTGGGTGACAGAGTGAGACTCCATCTCAAAAAAAAAAAAAAATAGTAAGATTTTGAAAAGTTGATGAGTCCTAGGTACATCTGTTTTTTTGGTAAGAGGAGGAAAGGAACTAGAAACAGCTTGTGATATAAGTCAATGAAATAATAAATTTAGGCGTACAAAAAACAAAAGGAATAAAAGTAGAAGACCTTGCAATGAAGAAAAGAATAACAATTGTCTAAATATCCATGCTAATCAACAAATGAGTTTGGAATTTTTCCCCAGCATATTTATATATGTTAACAGGTAGAATAATTTTTCACCTAATTCCCTTGAACTTCCTCAATGCCAAAGTGTATTTCAAAGAACAAATTCAATTGAGGCACAAAATAGTGCAAATGTACAGTATTCAGATAGATTTTGACCTGGCTGTTGCTTGTATGGGTATAGTTTAGAATTACCAGCCTAATCCATACAGATTTATTTTTTCCGCAGTCTGTCACCTGGTATCTAGCCAGGAACAAATGGTTCCTATAAGTAAAATCACTAAACATAGCAAAATTAAAATGGACTAGCAAATTCGTCTTGAAGAACCAGCCTATGAGTTGGAATTAACACATTCTGTGAGAAATGAAAGATTTACTCACAAGAAAGATTTACTCAAATGAAAGGCTACAACAGCCAACGTAACCATTTAGTTTAACTTTACCATCCAAATGGCGTTCTCCATAAGAGCTCTCTGGAAATAGGCCCCTTAAATATGTTATACAGGAAATAGAAGTAGCAAAAAGTTTCTTCACCATTATCAATGACTCGTGCTCATTAGTGATTTGGGATAGAAAAACTGTTTTCTGGGGGAAAAAAATGAAAAAAAGTTAGTATTCTTTAATATGTTTAGTCCATCACACCATTACCACAGATACGATAAAAAGATTTTTCAAGACTTCAAATTTAATACAAAGGAAACAGGGCTTTGAATATTGCATTAAATTAGATCTTCTCAGGCTAGGCAGAGCAGAAAGGCAAAGACAATTATCCAAATAATTTAAGACTAAAATAATTTATTTCACAATGCTCTGTGGATTTGAGGCAAAACTGGAGTTTTAAAATGATTATAGAATCTCCTAACCTCTTAAACACTCCTCAGACCTCACTGCAATCTGGCTTTTACCCCCCTTAATTTTACTCTGTTCTCTCCGAAGTCACCAAGTACATCCTGTCAGCAACCCCTTCTCATTTCTCATAATACACAACTTTGCAGTATCCGACATACTCTCTTTTCTTCTCCTACAAATTGCCACAACACTATTTTGGCTTTTCACCTATTTCTGCATATCTATCTCTGACTCTTTTATTTTTTCCAGTTATTCTGCCCTTTAAATGTTGGTTCTTCCCCAGGAGTCTGTCTTCAAGCCTTTTCTCTTTTCATAACTCTCTTCTTGAATAATCTCACCTAGTCTCACAGCTTCAGCTATAGTCACACAGAGAGGACTTCAAGTCCCCATTTCTGTTCTAAGTTCCACTTGTATTTTCTGAACATCTGTACATAGAGCACTTTGTGGATCCGTTAAACTCAGTTAATCTCCACCATCTCTGGCTACAAGTTTTATTCTCAGACAAGTGAGTCAGCATCTACTCCAGTCACCCACACTAGAAGCAGCTTCATCTTTAGTTTTTCTCTCTCTTTCATACATACCCCATATCCAATCTCTAAATTCTATTGATAATATTTATTTATTTATTTATTTATTTTTTGAGTTGGAGTCTCACTCCTTCGCCCAGTGGCTTGCATGCTCACGGCCACCCCAGCATCGACCTTCTGGGGTCCAGCGATCCTTCCGCCTCAGCCTTCCGAGTAGCCGGAACTACAGACGCATGCTACCACGCCTGGCTCTTTTTATTTTATTATAGAGATGAGGTCTCACCAAGTTGCCCGGGCTGGTCTTGAACCCGCGGGCTCAGGCAATCCACTCGCTTAGGCATCCCAAAGAGCTGGGATTACAGGCTGAGCCACTGAGCCCGACCTTAATAATCTTTTTAAACGAGTTCTTAAATCTGTTTTCTCCTTTCCCTTCTCACCGTCTTGGCTCAGGGTATACTCAGTTCTCTCCTGGATCACTGCAGCAGCTCCTGATCTCCCTGACAACAGTTCCTTTTATTCAATCTCTCTTCTATATTGCCATCAGAATTAATTTTCAAGAAATCTTACTATGATACTCCTAGTGTTCATACAGGATACAGTTCAAGTATCTTAGTATGGGATTTGAGAACTGTCAAAATCTTATTCTTGTCTAGCTTTCCTGCCTCATCTTCCACTCCCTCCTCTACTTGCACATCCTTATTCTCTCTGATACCCTGCTCTCGAGCCATGTAGAACTACTGTTCATCTACTACTCTACTACAATATATTTCCGTACTTCTCTGCTTTGCTTAAGAGAACACTGAGGAATACTAAAGTTCTATAAAAAGTCAGATAGTGTTCTATAAAAACAACCAAATGCTAACCAGCAATATTTTCCAGCTAAATTTTATGTATATGTGTGTATGTGTATTAAACAAACTTATATCGTTGTTCTTAAATGATGAGTAGTCTGCCTTAAGAAGTAATGTGTCATATGAGGAATGTCATAAGGAAGTAACATATATGAATTTGTGACTTTTGCTTCAGTATGTAAGGAGTATCTATCTTGTATATAGAATATTTGCTGATGGATAGTTTATGTTGGATATCTCAAGTTATCATTTCAACATGTTTGCTATACTATTCTATGTTTATTGTGTATTTGTATTAACATCAAAATAAAAATTTGATCATTTTTGTCATAATTAATTACTCTGTGAAACTTCTTTTTTGCCAAGAAGAAAATACTTCTTTTTTGCCATCTTCTTTAAGCCAAGCATAAAATATGTCTCATGAACTCCAGCTGGTGTTGTGTCAATACATTAAAAAATATTTTCCAAATGTTAATGAATTTGACTATATTACATTTAAGAACTTCTGTTCATTAATACACTATTAAGAGCAAAGAAGTAACCCAAGGGTGGGAGAAAATATTCTTGATACATATGTCTATCAAAGGATTCATATCCAGATTTATTTTTTTAAAATTCCTTAAAACAACAAAATAAAAAACTGGGCAAGCCGGGCTCGGTGGCTCAGCCTGTAATCCCGCGCCTTTGGGAGGCTGAGGTGAGTGGATTGCCTGAGCCCATGGGTTCGAGACCCGCCTGGGCAGCGAGACCTCATCTCT